TTTTGTCACGTAGTGATCGTCTTCTCAATAGAACATCTTTGATAATGTCTTCTGGCCAATGAGAATCCAGATAACGGCGTGGTGTTGTTGCAGGAAGTCCTGACGGAGAATACTTTTGCTGTATTACATCTCTATATACATCCTGTTGATAGAAATCAACACGTAATGAAATAAGACCCCACGGTTTGATTATTGATAGGTGTGTGGGCTGTCTTCCATTTTGACACACAGAACAATGTTATAATAAACATACATATACTTTATGTTAAATGGATATATCCACCTTCTTTCATTTATCTTTCCATTCCCACAACAATATACATAAAGAAATGGCATATTTTGGACATAGTTTGAATGGTGATTAATCATAATTAATACATTTTTAAGCTGTGATTAATCTGATTAAAATGTGTAATCGTTTGACAGCCCTAATATAAATATATATATCACATGTTCTCTTCCATTAACCAGTCTTTAAAAACTTCCAGAGCCCATACTGTGTTCCTGTTAGTATTTACTTTCTGTCTGTCTTCTTCTGCTATTCCCTGTAGTGTGGACTTCCTGTCTGTCTTCTTCTGTTGATTTCTCTGAATTCCAGCGCGCTGTCTTTACATTTCTTTCCTTCTCTTGTTCTCTTTTTCAGTTTTTCTGGGGACAATTTATCCATCATGAATCTAAAGTTTCATGCTCTTCACAAATAAAAAAAATTCCATGGTGTTTTCTGGTGGAGGTAAACATTTTTTTGGCCATAGCTGACGTTATATTGACCGGAATTCCTTCTGCGATTGATATGACTGCACATAGTCCTTTGATTAGAGTATCCTTAGCAATGGTCTCTTATCCTTAACAACAGTCTGCTATTGAAATAGAACAGACCTCTGGAATGTCCAAATTGACCAATCAGAATTGAGTATTCAGCCAAGCCGTGTATTAATACTTGATACTATACTCTTTTACTTTACACTAAACTTAACTATGCAATTCTTAATGCATAATGTCCTCTCCTGAGGAATCTATTAGAAGGATAAGTGTGATGGGTTGCTTTGTGATGTACAAGCAGAAATAATAAATAAGCTGAAGTTAACTTTAAACACATTCTGCCATTCTGCTGGGCCACATATGTCATGTTTCTCTTCACTGGTCTACTTTAGGACATCTCCACATGGGAAGACACTCTCCATTCACACAGTCTGAATACAAGCCCACAGCACCCTGCCCTCACCCCCCCCTCTGACCCTCTGTGCCTGCCTGGATACACGGAGGAGGAACTGATGGCCAACAACAACCACCTCAAGGTAAACTCCTTAGTCCCACTATTACATTTAAATGATGAACCTGTTGAAACATTTTTCCTCCAACACTTTAAAAAAAAATGAACAACGTATGTTTTTGTGTTTGTGTGTGTGTGCGCGTGCGTGTGTGTAGTTACCCATCCCAGAGGTGAACGAGGACAGATGCTGGGACACAGAGAAGCAGAAGCCACCAGGACAGACTGTCAATTCAACCGGTGTGTATCATATAGTTTTCACTCTAAAGTAAAAATGACCACCAGTGAGAACCATACTGTGTTTCACTTTGCATCAGTTTTTGAGAGGAGGCCGCACAAACAGCAGGCCGCTGCTCTGTTCTGACTCTGCTAAAGCTTTTAGAGTGTATAGTAATGAGGGATGAGAGGAGAGAGAGGATGATGGGGAAATAATATGTTTATTGTCTTCA